TTCCTTCCTTCCTTCTCTTTCCTTCCTTCCTTCCTTCCCTTCTTTCCTTTCTTCCTTTCCTTTCTTTCCCTTTCTCTTTTTCTTTCTTTCCTTTCTTCCTTTTATTTTCTTTCTTTTTCTTTCTTTCTCTCTCCTTCCTTCCATTCTTCCTTCCTTGTCTTTCCTTTCTTTCCTTTTTCTTTTTCTTTTCTCCCTTCCTTCCTTTCTTCTCCTTCCTTCTTTCCTTCCTTCCTCCCTTCCTTCTCCTTCCTTCTTTCCTTCCTTCCTCCCATCCTTCTTTCCTTCCTTTCTTTCCCTTTCTTTCTTTGTTTCTTTCCTCCTTTTTCTTTTTTTTCTTTCTCTCTCCTTCCTTCCTTCCATTCTTCTTTCTCTTTCCTTCCTTTCCTTTCTTTCCTTTCTCTCTCCTTTTTCTTCCTTCCTTTCTTCTCCTTCCTTCTTTCCTTTTTCTTTCCTTTTACTTTTCTTTTTTTCTCTCTCTTTCCTTCCTTCCTTCCCTTTTCTTCTCCTTCCTTCCTTCTTGTCTTTCTCTTTCTCCCTCCCTGCCTTCCTTCCTTTTCTCTCAACAATTTCTTTGATATCAAACTAGTTAAGTAAGCCCTGTCTGTGGGAGCCACTGCTATTCTGAAAACATTTTAATTTTAATTTATTTTATTTTTTATTTTCAGATGGAGTTTCGCTCTTGTTGCCCAGGCTGGAGTACAATGGCACGATCTTGGCTCACCACAACCTTTGCCTCTCGGTTCAAGCGATTCTCCTGCCTCAGCCTCCTGAGTAGCTGGAATTACAGGCATGCACCACCATGCCAGGCTAATTTTGTATTTTTAGTAGAGATTTTTAGTTTCTCTATGTTGTTCAGGCTGGTCTCAAACTCTCGACCTTAGGTGATCCGCCCACCTTGGCTTCCCAAAGTACTGAGATTACAGGTATGAGCCACCGCGCCCAGTCTTTTATTTTAATTTATCTTAAGTTATATAGATGAAGTCTCACTTTGTTGCCCAGGCTGGTCTCAAATTCCTGAGCTTAATCAATCCCCCTCCCCCTACCTGCCTCAGTGTGACCCCATTTCTATGAAATGTCCAGGACAGGCCAATCCACAGAGATGGGAAAGGGATGCGTGGGTGCCAGGGGCTGGGAAGAGAGGAGATGGGGAGTGATGGCTGATGGAGGCTCAGAAATTAGGGGTAATGGTTGCACAACTCTACACAAAAAACCACCAGGTGCAGTGGCTCACGCCTGTGATCCCAGCACTTTGGGAGGCTGAGGCAGG